TAGCCACTACAGTGACCATCAAAACAATGAAAAAATATTGCCATAAACAGTTTATTTTGCAACACCACGAAACAAACGATAGTGTAAAATGAAACGATAGACGTTTTTATATCGTCATCCGATATATATGGTTATATCGAACAGCCCTACTCCCCTGTGTAACTCTCAAATGCACAGCCTAAATCAGACAAGACACAAGTTATCGAGGAATTTGCATTTCACTAAGGTAGATGAAAGGTCTGCGTTATCTTAACTATGCTGCTACACTTTATCCTGTCAGTGTTGGAATGTAATGCATCTGCACAACAAGTTTATAGCCGATGTCATGACTGTTTTTCTCTCTGTGTACTGTCAGCACTCTGGCCAGCATCAACCCGGCAGCAGTACTTTCTAGACTGAGTGTTTCCGAGCCGACAGCCAGCGCTCTGTGTCCAGGAGGCAGCGTGGATCTGAGCCTGGAGGCCAACGCCATTGCCCTGCACTACTTGAGTGACTCTCAGCTCAGCAGGCTGTCCTTGGGAGGCCACATTCCTCATTCTAGTCTCACTCCTTCCTCCACCAGTGATTCTCTGCCATCACCTAGTAACATGTCTCTGGCCACCAGAAAGTACATGAGAAAGTATGGGTTGATCGAGGAAGAGGATGGCGAAGATGAGTTGGAGCAAAAGGAGGTGGGAGTTCAGGAGACATCAGATCGTGAGCCCCTGACAGAAGCTGTGAATGCGAGGTTCCTCCCACAGAGTCAGCTGATCCAGGATCTGCGCCCCAAAATGCAGCTATTAGCCAACCACACTGAACCACATACCAGTGACAAAAAGAACCATTCCAACAGGCAGCCATCTTTTGTCAGGGCAAACCTCCGTCAGACAGAGGGATCACTGGGAAACATCCTGGACCTGAGCCGCCTGAGACAGCTGCCCAAACTCTTCTGATGCCCGCATCACCAGTAAAGCAACCCCATATTGAACTGTAATATGCACTAAGCTTTTATAGATAGTTGAAGCCTGGTGTGTCCTAGGTACTCTCAGCTGGTCTGATAGACGTCCTGGTTTCCATGGACACTGGCTGTCACTGGAAATTTGCCGTCTTTAGTCCTAGCAATTCTCTGGGATGCAGAAAAATGCTGGAGGCTAAACTATTTAAGATAGCTGCCCAAACTCTTATGACACCGTGTAAACCAGACTAAACAAACCTCTTAAACTTTAAGTGGAATTTGCTTTGCTCAAGGAGCTCAGGACTGTTGCTAATACGATTTTATTTTCTTTTTTTTACTGGAAACCTGGTTTCTTTTTAAAAACCATTAAAGTTTGAATGGTGTGCTCAGTGTGTTAATGACCTAATAGTCTATTGAGTTGGTCAGATTTGTGTGTTTGACGGACTTTTTGTGTCATATTTTCCTCTTCTGTAAAATGTCTCATGAACAATTTGTTTTAGTATTTATGAATCCACAAATAAAGTTTTCCCAGGAAATTCTATTAAAACTGCAGCTGATGGTGTTGCTTACTTCAGACGTCATCTGGAAATGTACTCTGTTAGAAATGAGTATTTCCACACCCACCAGAGCTTCAGAACCAGAACTCTGTCCGTGCCGGAGCCAAGGAAACGTGATCGTTCTAGAAAAGGTTTTTGTTTTGTTAAACTAACGATCACCTAGTAAACATTAGCTATGGCATTACTCCACATAAATAGTAGTCAGCATGTTCGTTACTTGATATGGAGTTTTCTAACTCCTAGCTTCATCTTTTACAAAGTTCCTCATTATTGTAATGCATTTAGTTCAACCTGCTGCCTTCAGTTACAATCTTGTCACTTAGTGGTGCCCCGTGAAGCTTTGCAGTCTCTCTGATCGTCTCCTGGTGACTGTTGGCTGTCATCTCCCGGCTTGCAGCCAACCCCTCTTCTGTCTCACCTCTGCGGTATCCTGTGCAGCAGGTCCATTTGGTTTCTCCAGATGAATCAGGATCTCCTTTTCTTTAAATCCTCTGCTCCCTTGCTTGCGCTGCTGTACATTACCAGCCTGCTGTTGTACACATGTAGTTTGGCAGGAGGCGGTTTTCCCTCTCCCACAACGTTCTCCTTATTGGTGCCTAAGGCTCTCTCTTTGCCAGAGTTTCTGTGGGTTAATCATGTTCAAAATGTGTCCTCCAGTCACCACGGAGTATCCCCGTCTTTTTTTCCATGCAGTGAGGAGCATCGTTCTTTGGTTTGAAATTCCTGAAAGCAAACAAACCATTGACTGAGGCTACACTACTTCGGCCTGAGAGCTCTGTGGCATTGTTGTATTTTGAGCTTCACTTCGTCTTGGGGCACCAGCTCCTTTTAATAAAGTTGTCTATATGGTGTTGGATGTCCTTCCAAAACTTGTTGTATGCCCTCCAGGTTAGTTAGCTTCATTTGTAGGCTTCATTGTTTTTAACTTTAATTCTGAGCATTTTGTGGCTTATGGTACTTTGGAAAACTGTAAATAATGACTGAAAGGCAATAATGAATATAATTATTACTGCTTATTGTAGTAGTGGTGGTAAATTCAAAGGCTTGTGTATAGATTTCTAAGGCAGCCAGGCTGCTGATTTCTTTGCTAAGTTCAAATGAATCCAGGTATGAAAATATAACAGATTAATAACTGATTTTTCCATGAAATGTTTGTATGCATAATTTATGCGGACATTTGTGCCTATGAACTGTTCGTAAATGACACCGACTACAGGAAATGAGAGCCAATGTATTTACAAGTAATCCTTGAAGCTCAGAGGACATCCCTAACATGGCCTTTTCATAGTACACAGCTCTGACCTTGAACACCGACTGTCCAACCACCTGCTGTTGAAATCCGTTTTCACATACAGACAGTCAGAAGTAATCGGGTTTGGGGCCATGGTTTAACTCACCAGGTTGAGCAGTTGGCCCATTTGCTGTCGAAGTGGCCCGGGTTTAAATCTGCCCTGTGTTGCCTTTTGTTGTGTTGTCCTCCTGCTCTCTCTCTCACAGCTGTCCTGTTAAGGTAAAGACTAAAAGAGTCCCAAAGTATTTGGAGAAGAAGGCTGTTTCAAAGAGATTGTGGAGTTGAGTTTAAAGATCGTTTACCAGACAGAGGATGAACTGAGGTGACTCACCATGTCAAACCTGTTTTAATTCAAATGTAACATTTTCCAAGAATTGTTTCTTAAAATGTTTCATAAAATCGAATATTTAAATATGTGATTTGTGATCATCAGAAGACATTTTGTTCCAGTAGTGGTAAAGAATTTGTTTTTCTAAGGATGTTTTGTTGTGGGATGACTGCTCCAGTCGTCATTGTGTGGGCGAATGCGTCTTTCTGTTGATGGCTGCAGATTGTTCTGACTAACAGTGGATCAATGTCTCAAAGGTTGATTTGTTGTTTGTGTGCTCTGCAGGACACTGACCTGAGTTCAGCTCAAACCGCACAAATCTGCCTGTGTGAACACTCACGGCTCTACCTGGTCAAGTAAGACCCAATGCTTAATTTTATTCTTTTTCTGCTATAACAGTGAAATATGCATATGGTAGACTAGAGTAGAATATCGTGTTTGTGATGCCACACAGCAAACATGCTTTAGTGAAGGAAATGTCTCATTTTAAAAATGTTGATGATCGATCGATGATAGGGAAAATGTTTCTGGTTGTTTTGAACTTTACACACTTGTGACTTTATGCTATCCTTGTATTCAGTATTGATGTTTAAAGAGTATATTGTATTTTTGTTGATCCTGGCTGCTGTTTTTAGTTAATGCTCGACATGTTCCTGGTGTTTTGTGTTAGTTTATTGGCTTTGGGATTATTTTAGTTCTCTCTTAGATTGCGTTTTGTCTCTGTGCTAGCAGTGTTTGAAAAGTTTGTCTAAAAGAGCTGACGGTGGATAGAAGATCCGGCTTTGTACAAATGAGCAGTTGAAGATGACAAAGATGGAAGGAACTCTTCTATTTGTCTTGTTGTTATTCTAATAGTGTATGTTCATTCTATAAAAGACATACATAATAATAGATCAATGGAAAAGTTGATATATACATCCATATATGTACATACAGTACATCAAAAAACTATATTCCAATCACAGAGTCCAAAACTACAGTTCAATTAAATTTTGTTTATATAGCACCAAAGGTGAAGACCCTACAAGAATATAGAGGGAAAAAAAGAGAAAATCCCAACAATTAAATGAACCCATATAAACAACCCCTTGGTGACACTGGGAAGGAAAAACTCCCTTTTAACAGGAAGAAATCTCTGCCAGAACCAGGCTCAGAGAGGGGCAGCCATCTGCTGCGACCTATTGGGAGTGAGGGGAGGGAGACAGGACAAAGCCATGCTGTGGAAAAGAGCCAGAGATGAATAATAACTAATGACAAAAAGCAGAGTTGTGTATAAACACATAGTGAGTGAAGAAGAAACACTCCCCCAGCAACCTGACTATGGGAGGATTCAGGGTCACCTGATTGAGCCCTAACTATATGCTTTATCAAAAAAAGGAACATTTTAACTCAATCTTAAAAGTAGAGAGGCTGTCTGTCTCCTGAATCCAAACTGAGAGCTGGTTTTAGAGAAGAGAGGGCTAAAAGCTGAAGGCTCTGCCTCCCATTCTACTTTTATATCCCATAGGAACCACAAGTAACCCTGCAGTCTGAGAGTGAAATGCTCTATTGGGGTTATATGTAATATGAGGTCTTTTAGAAAAGATGGGAATGATAATGATTATTTAAGACCTTGTATGTGATGATAAGGATTTTAAATTTGATTCTGGATTTAACAGGGAGCCAACAAGAGAACCCAGTATGGGAGAAATATGCTCTCTCTTTCTAGTCCCTGTCAGGACTCTTGCTGCAACATCAACATGCATCAACCGAAGACTTTTCACAGAGTTTTTAGGACATCCTGATAATAATGACAAATGTCCAGCCTAGAAGGATTAAATGCACAAACTAATTTTTCAGCATCACTCTGAGGCAGGATATTTCTAATTTTAAAGATGTTGTGCAAACTGAAGAAAGCAGTCCTACATATTTGTTTAATATGTGCATTGAAGGACATTTCCTGGTCAAAAACAACTCCAAGGTTCCTCAGAGTGTTACTGGAGGCCAAGATAATGCCATCCAAAGTAAGTATCTGGTTAGACACTGGTTAGACGTTTAGGGGTTTTGTCTTAATTTAGAAGCAGGAAATTAGAGTTCATCCAGGTTTTTATGTCTTTAGGATTTTCTTGCAATTAAACTAATTGGTGTGTGTTATCTGGGCTCATGGATAGATACAGTTGTTTGTCATCTGCATAGCAGTGAAAAATGCTATGCTATGCTATGCCTTTGATGTTACTGCCTAAGGGAAGCATGTATAATGTAAACAGAATTGGTCCTAGCACTCAACCCTGTGGAACTCCATAATTAACCTTGGTGTGTGAATAAGACTCTCCATTTACATGAACAAATTGGAGTCTATTAGATAGATATGGTACAAACCACTGCAACGCAGCACCTGTAATACCTGCAGCATGCTCTAATCTCTGTGATAAAATATTATGGTCAACAGTATCGAACTCTGCACTGAGGTCTAGCAGGACAAGCACAGAGATGACCCCCACTGTCAGAGGCCATAAGAAGATCATCTGTAACCTTCCCGAACTGAAACTCTTCAAATAAAACATTCCTATGCGTATGATCAGTTAGCTGTTTTACACTCTTTCAAGAGAGTTATCTACTGTTGATTTCATTCTGACTTATGAAAAATGCACTCAATTGTATGTGGTAATAAAAAGGTCTTGTGCTTGAAATTGGCAGACTTCCAATAAAATCTTAGAAAACTGAAGTCAAATGGACTGAGCTGCAATATTATAAGCTCACTTCTTGCTCGTCCTTTTTCCAGGATGAGGTTTGCCGATTGCCTGTTGGTTCTGGTGTTCCTGCCATTCCTCTCTGTTGCCATCGCTATAGACATCTGCTCTGCCAAACCCAAGGACCTCTCTCTGGAGCCATACTGTGTCTATCGCAGCCCTGAGTTCTCTGACGGACCATCGCTGGAGGCAGTCCCTAACTTCACCAATCCCCGAGTATGGGAACTGTCAAAGGCCAATGGACGCTTTGGTCTGTCACTGTACAAACAGCTGGCTCTTGGCAGGAGCCCCGAGTCTAACATCTTCATGTCCCCCATCAGCGTCTCCACCGCATTCGCCATGACCAAACTCGGAGCTTGCAATGAAACGCTGAAGCAGATCATGAAGGTGAAATGCTGCATCATTGTGATCCTTTAGTTGTAGATGAAGACAACCGCACCCCCACCCCAAAGCTTTTGTCAAAATTTTCCCAAGTGCTTTTTTAACAGACAAAGGGATTTTCAATCATAGCATTTTGAATCATAAATCATTTCTGTTTGCACACAATATTAAAATAATTTCAGAAAAAAACAAAATTTACCAGTATTGATAGGTCTTAACATCCAGCTTTATGTGAATTAAAATGATCAGCGTGCTAAAACAGAGCTTTTAAATAAAGCATTTCAAATAAATCATAAATCAAAACATAACTTTAATCTAAGAACACCATCTGCACAGTAGTGGGAGTGTTATGCTGTGGGAATGCTTCTCTCTGTTTTGAACTGGGAATCTCATTTAGATGGGGGCAATTATGAAGAAAGGATATATGAAGATTTTGACAGAAAACGTCAAAGAATCCGTATGAAAACTGGGTCTCAGTCATTGCATTGCCTTCCAACGCAACAACAACCCAAACATAAGTCGCTCCTGGTGAAGAACTGCAGGCTGCTATCCAGCAAAAAAAGATACACGTTTGACTTTTAGCATTGCAATATGATGATGATCATGATAACATCATGATAATGATGTTATTGTATGCAAATAGAAATCATTTATGCTTTCTGAAGGAAACTAGTATGTTGGAAATGCTATCATCTGCTCTGTTAAAAGCACACTTGGGAAATACTTTTTTAAAATTACATTTTCGTAGGGTGACTAATAATTCTGTCTTCACCTGTTTTAGTTTTGAAAGTTAGTCTGTCCATTTTTACACAGGACTGAAGCAATATGTTTCACGCAATATATGTGTTGACGAGTCAAAACAGCAGAAATCTTTGCAGCAGACAGACTCACACATTCAGTGAGCCGCTATATTTGCCTGAATTCAGTCTTTGAATAGAGACTAAAATCTTACCAGTGATAGCAGTTTCTGTTTGGAGTGGTTCAGGTGGGTTGTCTATCAATCGGAACGTCGGTCCTTTATTCTACAGTCCACATGTTGAAGTGTCCTTGGGCAAGATACCCCTCAGTTCCCCTATTCATCGGAGTGTGTCTCTGAATTTTAGATAAAAGTGCTTAAGTATAGATAAAAGCACTACATGAATGTGTGTATGTGATTGAGTGAATGAGACTTGTATTAGAATATCCTTTGAGGGGTCACAATTGAGTAGAAAGGAGCAATATAAGTACCAGTCCATTTACCACTGACACCACATACCCATGGCATTATGGGACAGTCTGCTTCAGATCATGAGCTGTTTCTCTCCTTCTTTATAATGTTTTCTTTCCATCATTCTGGTACCAGTTCATCCTGGTTTCTTCTGTCTGCCTTTATGGGAGAGGACCGTAGAAAGGACCGTCCTCAATCGCTCTCTTAACTCACACGTGAACAAGACCCCAGGATGCTTACTTACATACTAGAGAGTATGAAAAGTATGGCAATAGCGAGTGTGAGTGTAGGAAATGGTCTGGGGGTTTAATCGAACCCAGGGTCCCACACTTAACCAGGGGCGATACCAAAAAGTATTCTTGACTCTTGGGTTTTCGTGGTCTTCTAGGCTTTTTGGTGTTACTGAGCTGGCCAGAGCATGCCTTTTTAAGCATGTGACTGTTTATTTGGCAACCTGTAGAGCTTTTGCTATCTTTCAGACCACATATCGAAAGTTTCAATTTAAAACTATGAAATGGAAGTTTAGCACTTGGTATCAACTCCAGGTTTTACAATCTGCCTAGTTTTGTCATGCAATACCAGGGGAAGAGGTCTTGCTGGGCCATGAAAATGCTTTTCATTAAACTGTCCAATAACTTTTCAGCCTGTAAAAATTCAGGGAGTATGCATAAAAATGGTTGTAATTCACAAACAGTTAATTCACAGTTAATTGACCTACTTGAATTAAAGCTGAAAGTCTGCACTACAATCATATCTTGATTGTTTATTTAAAAGGGTTGTACATGGCCTGGTAGACGAAGCACCTCACGCAAGAGATGCATCCTAGTCAGATACCCAAACTACCTCACCTAGCTCCTTTTAATGTGGGAGAATAGCAGCTGTACTCGGAGTCCCTCCAAACTTTCTGAACTATAAGAGAAAGGCCAGCCAATCTTCAGAGAAAACTAATTTTGGCAGTTTGTATCCATGATCTCATTCTTTCAGTCACTATCCAGAGCTCATTACCATAGATGAGGATGGGGACGTAAATCGCTTTTACACTCACACACCACAACATACCTGTACAGCTTCAGCATCAGTGCAGAAGCAGCCACAAACCATCCCCAATCTCCCCTCTCCACTCACTTTTGAACAAGACCCGAAAGATACTTGCTTAGATACTTGAGGTGGCAATTTGTTCCTGATCTGGAGTGAGAGCTTCACCCTTTTCCAGCTGAGAATCGTGCCCTAAGACATGGGAGGTGTAATATATCTACGTCAATCCTGAAAGCCAGAGACTATATTCTGAGACCGCCAAAGCCTTTCACCATTTGGTAATACTTAGAAATTCTGTCCATAAAAAAATGAACAGAAGTTGTGACAAAGACAAAGCTGGAAAAAGTTCAACACTCATCAGGAACAAGACCATCTTACTGACAGCAATGAGGACTTTCTGTGGCACCTCCCACAGGATCCCATGAGACACAGTCGAAGGTCTCCTCCGACTCCACAAAGCACATGAAAATGGGTTTTTCATGCATTTTCGAATATTCTTAAAAGGATAACAAGCTGCTCCAGCATCTCAAGACTGTGAGAAAAACTTTCAGTTAAGTTAGTAAATTTTATTTATATAGCTAAACCACACCAGGGACCTGCAACTGTGACTTCACCCCCAGTAATCACACTCATCCTCAGCCTCTGCTTATCCTAGGGCTTCTGATGCTCCCAGTGCACACTCACATACATTCATACAATTACTTTTTTCTATACCCAAGCACTTTTAACCCAACATTCACACACTTACACTCTGATGGATGCACTGGGGGCCACTCGAGTTTCAGTGTCATGCCCAAGGATATTTTGCCATGCAGGCTGGAGGAGCCAGGGATCAAATCACTTTCTTGTTAGTAGATAACTAACAAGAAACGGGGCGATCGTGGCTCAAGAGTTGGGTGTTCATCTTGTAATCGGAAGGTTGCTGGTTCGAGTCCCGGCTCGGACAGTCTCGGTCGTTGCGTTCTTGGGCAAGATACTTCACCTACCGCCTACTGGTGATGGCCAGAGGGGCCGATGGCGCGATATGGCAGCCTTGCCTCTGTCAGTCTGCCCCAGGGCAGCTGTGGCTACAACTGTAGCTTGCCTTCACCAGTGTATGAATGTGAGAGTGAATGAATAGTGGTATTGTAAAGCGCTATATAAATGCAATCCATTATTATTATTATTATTATTATTATTATAACTCCCTCTACCCCCAGAGCCACAGCTATCCCAATTTTGTAGCTCAAAATAAACTTTTGATTTTCTGCAGGTATTTGAGTTTGATACCATCAAAGAAAAGACATCGGATCAGGTCCATTTCTTCTTTGCCAAACTCAACTGCCGTCTGTACAGAAAGAAGGATGAAACCACTGAACTAATATCTGCCAACCGACTGTTTGGAGACAAATCATTAACCTTCAACGAGACATACCAGAACATTAGCGAGACAGTGTATGGAGCCAAACTGCTGCCTCTCAACTTCAAGGTAAAAATGAAAAGAACTCAATTTGAGACAACTTTGAACTCTGGAGCCTAGAATTTATGATGCTGCCAAATATGAATAATAATAATAGTCAAAGAATCGACATCCTACAGTAGCCCAGAGTAGAGTGGTTGGTCGTTATGGCCTTTGTCTTTTCTTCAGGTTTATTTTTGAGAGGTCAAACGCTTTGAGGTTTGACTTCAACCACACCGACTTACGACAGCTGTCGAGTTTCCAGAAAGCCAGTCGCACAAATACAAACAGTTTATACTGATGAGATGATTAGATGAACCAGCAAGCCTGGAAGCCTGGATCCCCCAGTGTAGCAAATGTATTCACACTGTAAGCTTATAAAGATAGTGGGTGGACCTTTATATTGTATCAATATATAGTATATATGTGAACTATTTAGTTTGAACATCTGGATACTTTAAAATTCAGGAAAGTCAGGCTTAGAAAAAAACTTTGTACTGATTAGGATTGGGAGTGGTGTGAAACAGAAACTGCCTCGCTCAGTTTAAGGTATACTGCACCTTTGAATAGTTAACATTAAAATCCCATTTTCCTTAAATCTCTAGGGAGGCTGAGATTGCAAATTTAGCATTATTCACAAAAGGGCATTGATCTGTCTTACACCAGTTATACTGATAACCTTGTGTCTGTGGTGTAGGAGAACCCAGAGAACGCCCGGGTCACCATCAATAACTGGATTTCCAACAAGACAGAGAACCGAATACAGGACACGCTGCCAGCTGGGTCCCTGGATCCCACCACAGTCCTGGTGCTTGTGAACACCATCTACTTTAAGGTACTTGAATACCAAATACTGCAGCTGAAACTAAATTATTTTTGTCTGCATGCTCCATACATCATTATTGCAGGGTTTGTACCTGTAAAGTGCCTTGAGGCAGCTGTCATTGTGATTTGGTGCTATACGAATGCTGCAATTTGATCAAAATGTAAAAAGTTCTTCCTTGTTTTTACACTAATATCCTTATAGAAAGTAACCAGAAGGGAATATTTATATGTTAGTCAGGACCATCATCTCAAAACATTGAATTCTAATGGAAATATCGCTGCATTTCCTAAAATCCATATTACATTTTTTTCTCACTCTAAAACACCTTACCCATTTGTATTTTAAGATTAAGATCTGAGATTGAAATAAGGTTTTTAAAGATGTAAAATAACAGGAATTTAATCTCTGGGCAACACATTGGTGCAGTGCTTGGATTAGTGGTTGATGGGCGCGTTATAGCTTCCACTTTCTTGAGTCTGCTTATGTCTCAGTGAGTAAATTTCATGTAGTGAGGATAAGGCACGCTCCAGTTCAGTCTATGAACCAGCTTTTTCTTTTTGGACATGTACTTTATTTGATTTAGTGAAGTTACGAAGCCTTTTAAGTGGTTTTTGAACCCTCCTAATGTTTTCAGTACAGCCACATACATTTTCAGCTACAGGCACAGAACGCTAAATCGTTGGGGGTGATGGTATGGAGGGAAACACACAGCATAATTGCTTTCTCTAAAGTCTCAGTATTCGTATCAAGGGATATGCATTCATTAAACATGGGTCAGGGGACTTGGAGTGAGCCAACAGGGAGCTTGTATAATATAAGAAAGTGAGCACACCTTCTGCCTCTTAGGGTCAGTGGAAGCACAAGTTTGATAAAGACCAGGTGTTCAACACAGACTTCCATGTCAGTGAGAGTCGCACCTGCTCCGTCAACATGATGTACCAGCAGACCAAGTTCAGGTACAAGTATTTCCCTGATGATCATGTGCAGCTGCTGGAGATGCCATATCGTGGAGACGACATCACCATGGTGATCATCCTGCCAAGCAGAGACACCACACTCAGTCAGGTAACCCGTCTGTGTTTTCAGCTCATCTTGTCTACTGTTTATAATTATGTTTCAGTTATAAAGGACTTAGAAAAATACAACCATAACATTTTCTGTCCCTTTCACACAACATGGAAAAGAGCAGTTTAAAAATGATAAGATAATTATAATTGCTATCAGACCTACACTGATGCTGCTTATTATTGTTTTTAACGAAACTTTTGGGCTCTTTTGCCTTCATTGAATAGTACAGTGAAGACACATAGGAAAGCAGGGAGAAAGCAAATGGGGAAAGACACACAATTAGTGGCCTCAGGTCAGAATTGAACTAGGGCCCCTGCTACTCCTACTAGTTATTTCACACTTAAAGTGGCCATAATACTAATTTAAAAGGAATCATTATTACATTAAGCAGAAATGCAGAATGTAAATAACAAATAAAAACTTTTGGTCTTTTGTCCTGCTACTTTTTCTTTATTTTTGAGCTACAGAAAAAATGCCTTTTTAAAGATATGTAGTAATTTAAGAGTCGAATGTTGACTGGTGCATATTTCATTGCTGTTGTACTTCACCTCCGTGCTATGTGTACTTGTTTTTTGAGGTGGAGGAGACTCTGGACCTGGCAAAACTGAACAGTTGGTTGGATCAGATGAAGGAAACAACTGTCTCTGTTGAGGTCCCTCGCTTTAAGGTGGAGCACAGCTTCAGCTTGAAGGAGAAGCTTAAGGAAATGGGATTGACTGACCTGTTCAGCTCTGACAAGGCCAGCCTGCCAGGTACTTAAACCTGAACTTTGGATCTCAGTCCAAAGTCCACATCAACTGAATTAAAAGTGAATTTGAGTATTATTTTTGATTATACCATTACATAATCAAATATAATTGTTATACATGTTATTCAATTATATTTGGTCAATCTGGTCAAACATGATACATTTGGTCCAAACATTTAACAGTCTGAACATGTTTGGAATTTGGGGAAACCTGCAGTCAGCGGAGACTGAAGAAGTCACTTGGATGAGTGACGAAACATTTCTCCCACTGAAAACGCTACGTCCAGATGAACAGAATCAACTTTGGGGGATTTACTTACCTGGATGAATGAGCATGCATCAAGACGAAAGGAAGACTGAAGATTCATGTCATTTAAATCAGGTTTTGATGCAAACATAAATGGAGGAGACCCTGCAGCATGGTGTGTTTTCATGGCTTCTATTAAGTGGTCTGCGTTTTTATTCTGAATATAGAAGGGAAGCAGAAAAAGTCAACTTGACCTGTTGTTGGTTTTGATTATGGCAGTTATAAATGAACAGTTAAGAAAAACCACAAAATTCCTTCTGTGTTTCAGGGATGCTGGAGGATAGCAACTTTGGCCTCTACATCTCAGATGCCTTCCATAAAGCTTTCCTGGAGGTCAGTCAAATACTATCTACATCACTTAGAGCATGTTTTACATTATACAAGTCCTTTTTTCCAAGTGTGGGTCGGGACCATTGACTGTATTCGAATGATCAGCGTAGCTTCCAGGTCTGAGAAGCAAAGCCAATGCAGAAGTATAAAAAGAAATTGTTTTCCTATGAGCTTGCAGGTTTTCTTGGTTATTTCAGTCCTGAGATGGTAAAAAACATGACAAACTGGTGGGTGATGGCTACATACATTTCTACATACTATGATCAGGACTAAGGGGTGCTTCTGTAATGAAAGACCACATTTGAGTGGTAGTGTTTCCATTTTAAATGTTTTTATTTTATTTTATTTTTTTAACGATTTGTCCTGAATTTCCAGACCTTTTTTGGAAAAAATGTTTTTCCCTTAAATGTTATTTTGGGCCTTTTTTTGTATATCATTTCGTTTGGTATTAAAACATAAACATCTAAATCCATATTGGTATCCTGACAGTTGATATAAATTCAGAGAGATGCATTTATACGAGTTCATCTCTCAGACACAGGTTTTGATTTGAGTTAATAAGCAACTGTGTGTGCTGTTGCAGGTGAATGAGGAGGGCAGTGAGGCGGCAGCAGCCACCGCTGTGGTGGCCGTTGGACGCTCCTTCAATCCGTACAGGGAGGTTTTTACAGCCGACCGGCCGTTTCTGCTGCTCATCAGAGAGTCCATCATCAACACACTGCTATTCACCGGCCGTGTGGCTGATCCCTGCAACCAATAAAACCCTACACATGAAGCGATCACTGCTTTGTTAAAAGCCGCAAATCGTAAAAATATAGTAATAAATATTTCAAAATGTAAATATACTGCATAACAATTCGGCACTGTGCTGTATGATGTGGAGCTAATGCAAACTTCATTTTACAACATTATACACTACACACTCAAGAGTGGGGCTTTTGATTTTTAGCCAAAGTTTTAGACGTTTGTTCTGTACTTCAACTTCATTTCATTTAATTCCATCCATCCATCTGCGGTGGCAGCAGCCTAAGCAGAGAAGCACAGTCCTCCCTCTCATCAGTCACTTCCTCCAGCTTGTCCGGGGGAACACCAAGGCGTTCCCAGGCCAGCCCGCTGGTGTATGGTGCCTTGGTGCTTCTCCCTCATTTCCCAACAACACGTCACAGCAGTTAGATTTATCCAAGCTTGGGACCGGCGCCGGGAATCCACTAGCTGATCACCCCTGAGGATGGGTTCATGTCTCCTCTTCCCGGTCTCAAATCAGCGATCAGGGTGACTTAGAAAAGATGCAGCTTTCAAAAGTGTTTCCACAGTAAATGATTTAAGTAAATAAATGCAAAACAAATGAAATAACAGTGTTGCTGAATATCTCTGCCTTGAGATACTCACCGTGGCTTCAGATGAAAAAGAACTGAACATGAAAAGAGACCACATGAAGGACAAGAAGCATCTGCCCTGTCAGCCCGAACTCAGCTTACTGAAAACCATCCAGATTCTCCACAAGGACTGGAAAAAAAAAAACCCATCCACACCTGACAGAGTGCCAAGAAACGAGAGGATTTACATCCAATAACTTAAAATATTAAAGAGCAGAAAATCTTAACGCATTAAAATACTTTAATTCTGAGCGTTTTGCTGCAATAACAACAAACTTTTTTTTATTTTTATACATTTTTTTTAATTTTTAGTAGTAGTAGGAGTAGTTGCAGTATTCAGTTTGAGGCACTTCTAAACATGTTCATGGAAAACAGGTGAGAGAGTAGTGCTCAATTCCAGATGTGTGTGTCACGTTCACACGCGCACGTTTGTGAATGCTGCTGGAGACAGAGGCGAGTCGGTGGCATTTGTCACTTAAAGTGCTTTATTTCCTTTGAAGGAGATGCAACCTGTGAGTGATCTAGTGGTCATAGTGAAAGTAAGCATCTTCACATTTATCTAAACTAACTGACCTTTGGCCTCACATCCCCCCACCCTCCCACACCCTCCACCAACATGATTTAGCAATAGACATGCAACATAAAAGATGTTCACATAAAACCTTTCAGGTTCATCTACTACAGAACTTAAGTACTTCCTCTTCAAGAAAAAAAAAAAAGTACAGTATTAAAAGTTAATTTACTATCTAAAATTTGTTTACTTTGACTTATTTTCTGCATTGATATATTAGGATATACTCTGAGGAATCAACATTAAAGAGTTATTACGTGAATATAGTTAAATGATCAGATTCATGGTTAGGCATGTTGTGGTCAATGTTACTGGATATTCATGTGCTAAACACTGGATTTATCCAGGTAGGAAAAAGAAAATTTAGACTGCACCTATTACAAGAGAATTAAACTTTAGCATTCTGAATAAAGCAAATGAGCTGGAACCTTGACTGACTCAAAGACGTGAGGATCATGAGGAGGTTCTGCTGTTTTTCACAGTTTGAGGATGAAAGCGGATCCGGACATGAGAAATCACTGAGGAGGAAAAGTCTGATTTGGGCCATCTGTGTTTAAAGCAAACGTAGCTGAAGTAACGGTGAACACTGCGATGAGCCTTAACATTTACTCATGTCTGACTCATTACTGCGTCGCTCGTGTTGTTGAGCATAATGACAGAGACTGTTTGTGACTCCAAGGGATTGGGCAAACAGCAGATACAGGCCAGTTTACTTCAAAAACTGACGAGTGAACAACATTTAAGAATGCTAGGCGAGGCCATTTCACCGAGGTTGGTTCAGTTGAGCACCTTCCGTCTTACAGTTCAGTGTTCACTACACTTCACAACCCATTTTGGGTGAATTGAGACACATTTGCTTGCTTTACCAAGTGTTTCTTAATATTTTTGCGTATAACTATACAAGTCTGATGTACAACAGAATGATAATTTGAATATAGACTGAAATCTGTCGCATCTATTTCCACTGGACAGATTCATGAAGATTGGGTTGTTGTTGGTGCCTTATAGGCAAACTGTCAATGCTGCATGTTTGAGCAGAGAAAGACTTGGTTGAGCGATTCTCTTATGATCAAGTTTGAAATGCAGTTGTTTCTGAATGCAGCTCTAAGCCAACTTTTCCTGCTGTAGATTTCTCAAGTAGGACCACACTGAACCAGAAGGGAGCAGCTTGTTACCAGCAATAACTTGAAATGATGTATTGCTCAGTGAAAACATGAAGTCTTCCCTGCTTTCCTTCAACTCAGAGCAAAGAGGAGGAAGCAGAAACAGAACGTGAAACACAAAAAAGAAGGCCGATCTGTTTGTTCCTGGATCTACGGTGGTTGGAAACCCCAAGTTAATGTCTTAATGCTGGAACAGGTCAACATGTGCAACTTGAATCTTTTGTTCTTTGTCAGAAATGTCTCTTTGAAGTACTTCTCGTGATCGCTGCTCTAAAAAAATTTCTATACATTGGATAATTCCTGATAAATGTAAAACACAAAGTGAACCAAAATGAACCGGACTTCTTATGAAACACATGAAGAAACGCTCAGGTCTTAAATCGTCTACATGATGTCGGTAATTGAATCAACAGAGGGGCTGAATCCTGACCTGTGCAGAAAATATTATTGAAGGTGAAAAAGTGTTTCGGGCTACGCTTTCTGGTACTGGACTTTATATATGATAAAACAAGTATATGCATCTGGGATTTTACGAAAATGGTGGCACACCCATTTCTTTTAGTTTTTTTTTCTTTTGGGTGGGGTTTCTCAGAAATAAAAGGCATTTTTGTTGGTCAATGGCCAGAAACAGCAATACAATGCTGAAACAGTCTATCCTATGTCTAGTTGATACCCTGAAAAGGCCCACTCTGCAGCAGGAAAGCCCTGTACCTGTGGATTTGTAATTCACGTTTAAACACAAGAAGAAATAGCAGGTAATTGCCAACGTCTTCTTTTTAGCCTTATATCAACAAAACTAAAGAGTTCCACACTTAAAAGTCCTCAACTGCTATAATACCTACTGAGTATGGATTACTGTTGGGTCTACCTTACAATATAAAGCGCCTTGAGGAGACTGTTGTTGCGATTCGGCGCTGTATAAACTGAATTGAAATTGAGACGAACATTATTTTGCTAACATAACATGTTAAGACTACAATAAAATGGATACATTTGACCTGAAAAATGATGCAGGAAATAACACAAATACACAAATGTACTGTAAAGTCACGTGTTGGCTGCTGCTAGATGCGGGTTCAGGCAAATGACTTGAGCTGCTCTTTGTCATGTCACATACCTCCCAGCACGTTGCACTGTTTAATCTGTATAATCACGGCAGGTTTTAAAAAGTTTTTAATCAGCTCCTGATTTGAATGTGATGGAGCCATGTTGAAATACTAAATACCTTCCAAAAGTAATGTCCATTTAGGGGAATTTGTTCAAAGAATTTGATTATTAATTAGCAGCTAAAATCATTTGATTGTCACTTTATGGAACATGAAATATTCTATAAATGTGCTTTTCCCCGTTATTCTGTAGGGTACAATACACAGCACCTTGGGGTGACTGTTGAGTGGAACTTAATTGAATAATGTTTGCTTAATTTTATGCAATATTTCCTGCACGAGTCATTGTATTCAGCCCCTTTTGGTTGCTTCTAAAAGTCGCGATTTCTCTCAAAACACCTGCTCAAAGTCACGTTCCAGCCCAACACAGCAGACAAAACTTAAACATCTGTTAGAGGCAAAATCACCACATACTTAAACACCGACCCAGACTGTGGGAGACATCCACACAGTCTGTGGAAAGAGGTCTTGAGGTCACCATGCTCATTTCTGTTTCATATTTCCCAGTCTTGGTTTTGCCGACCTCTACGGCGACTCATGAGGATGCCTTCCCTGCTGCTTTTTTTTTTTGTTTACAGGTAAGTTTTATTTCTGCAGCGTGCATACTGCACTGAGGTTTAGCTGTTAGCATACTGCTACGTGGGAAAGGTAAACATCCAATTCTTTGAATAAAAGAAAAGAGTTTGTATACCTGATATCCTGGTTAGCCTGAAGTGTGAGCCTAGCGGCAGTGGCTGCAGTGGCATCTGGGACAAAATCTCCAATCACTCGATTGAGGACAGAGCCGCTGGCTTCACTTGCATAAAAAAATTGACCATCCACTGAGAATCTGTTTCACAGCTCTGTAGAAGAAAACAGTAACAGTCCATCTGTGTGCTACCTGCCTACTCCTAGCTTGTTTACATTAATCATATTTAAAAAACAAAACAAAAACATCTTAGTAGTTTAAATACATTTGTCTTATAATGTGTGTAGATTTGTTATTGTTCTCTTGTTACAAAAACTTTGTGACCTTCTCGTTCTCCCTCATTGATAAGAGGTTTAGTTGTTTTGGCGTTTTGAGGGGCCCACACGGCCACGCCATCTTTCCTTTGGTTGCCAGATAGTCCGACCTGCTCCCGCCCGCCAACAGGTCAACTCTGATCACAGGAGGCTTCTGAAGTTCAGCTCCATGGCCTGGCCACTACATCCATCTGGTCTATCAGGGTTTGGCTTGTCAATATCCAATCAACGTTCATCCAGATCAGAACCATCTATTGTCAGTGACGCATTACCTCTACTGCACTCCGTACACAAAAACGAAGCCAAGGTCGGGTAACGTGTTCTGTTTATGTATTCAAATGTATATATTTTGTGGTCTACCTTTTTAGGTGAAGACTCCATTTCTGAATGTTGAGACATTTATCCTCAACAGTGTCTGAAATGTCACAGTTTCATGTCTGTGACATCAGGAGTGAAGGTGAGGTCATCTGTGGCAGTGCTGTGGTGCTCAACAAGTTACAGAAGGATTTTTGAACTCTCACAAAACTAATATTTTTAATAGGTTAAATAAGGCAAGCATATTAATGTATTATTTTATGATCTTTACTATCCGGTAAAAAACAAACAAACTTCAAGACATGTTGAGGAGGTCATTTAGCCATTTGAATCAGCTGTGTTGGATCAAGGACACATCTAAAACCTGCAGGACACCGGCCCTCGAGGCCTGGAGTTTCCCACCCCTGTTCTAAGGCGAGGTATTCCCAAAGGAGACCCGAAGAGATCATTTCCCTTTTCCTGACACTTTATGGTGAGTTTTTTTTTTTATAATAATGCGTGTTTTTAGCTATGTCAGTGGGTTCTGGCCCCCTTATATATAAGGCTTTCTCCCCATTTATATTGTTTTTTAATCTACGAGTCATGTTTGTAGTTTTTTGTTGCACTACAGCTGTTGGAGCCATGTCGTCTCGTCTCTCTGTACACTGTGTTTACAGTAGCGATGGCAATAAATTTTGATTAGACTTCGGTGTGCTGACTATAATTGGAGTCACTTCAGCAGACCTTTCTACTGTGTCGGTGTTTTGAATGCCTGTGCTTCACCTGTTCTTCACTCTTAGTTTCAGTCTGTTTTTTTTCCCTCAGGCTTGTTGGTAAGTGCAGTAGATTAAATGCGTCACTAACTGTCACACAAGATACTGATCGGGTCTTCCCAATATCTTGTTCTCCTCAAACAACAAGCTGTCTTCCATCACACCCGTTGTCAGAGCAAGAAAGTGTCCAAGAAAACTGAAGAAAAACAATAAATACATGTTTGTTTATAAAAATATCTGAGAAAAGTGACTGAGATCTCTGTGGGAGTGGAGCAGAGCGCTTCCTGGTGGTGCTGTGCTGCAGCTGTATTGCGTAGTGATGAGAGGTAATTGAGCTGTGTAGCTTATCTGAGGCTGGACCATGTCCAGTTTTCCTGCTGTGAGTTTGTTGGTGGTCAAGTGTGATCTAAAACCTGCTGTAGAAGCTGAGTTCAACTGCCACAGTAAAAACACTATTGTAAGGAAGTTCTATTCAATTCATGCGCCAAATTCATTAACCCAGTGTGACTGGAGTCCCCACAGACATTTTTCCATTCATTTTGCCTGCATGAAGCGTGAGAATGCCTCTCAATATTTGTTCTACGACACATCCCGTGTACATCCAGAGAAGCGGAAGGCTGATGGAGCCGTCCGCATTCGATTCTCAGGGCCATACTTGTGCATACATACATACATACAAACTTGTGACTTTATCACAGGGTCACATGAAAGCATGTAATAGTTTTCATGTGACACAAATAAGTCACATGACCTATGTTGCATTCGAAGGCAATGGGATATACTACTGCATCTCCAAAAATTACAGTGAAAAAGTGATTATTTTGGCAATTTCATTCACAATGGTGATTTTCATATATTCTATATTAATTACACACAAAGTCAATATTTTCAAGCATTTTTGAAGTTTGCTTATAGCTCAAGAATATTAGAAATGGAGTATTTCAAACTGTCCGAGATACTGCACTGAGGTCTTTATCATTTTAGAAAATTTCTATTCAAACCACAGTATCTGTCTCAGTACACAATCACAGTCATGGGGAAGACTGCTGACCTGACGGCTCTCCACATGACGATCATTAATATCCACCACAAGGAGGGTAAGCCACAGAAGGTCACTGCTGAAAAGGCCGGCTGAGTGGAGAGTTTTTATATGTCAAAGGATAAACTTCCAGGAAGACGGCTGCATTAACAGAGTTCATGTTTCTATCTAGCGATGCCGGTGCAAATTTCCTTTGCCAACAGGACTGACCTGACTACAGCTCCACCACTACTACCACATGGTTGCCAACAACGCTATTACTCTACTTAATTGTCAAGCCAAATCACATGACCTAAACCCCACAGAGACTCTATGGAGTATTTTCGAGGAAGATGTGAAAACCTGATCCAAAAATCCACACGAAGTTGGCATCAGAGCAGCTTCAATAGGATCTTAGCAGAGCCACACTTTTTCTCCATATTCTATTTTTGTGAGATGCACTAATAATTAAAAACTTTGTATACAGCAGTTCAAAACCCCAAAATACTCCCCAAAGAAAAATTTAGTTCACAGTGACGAAGGCAAATCTTCTCTCTTTTAAAATGCAGGTATTTGGGTTTTTGACTATTCTCGATCAAAAATAATAACATTAAACATTTGCAGATTTTTATCGGCCAAGTATATATTCATCTACACCTGCAAATTCTTCCATTGGGCACACACGGGTGGCTATGACTTAAGAGGTAGAGCAAGTCACCTTCTAAATGGAAGGTCGGTGGTTCGAGCCATGGCTGCTCTAATCTCCAATCCAAATATCCACGGGCAAGATATTAACCCCAAGTCGCTCAAATGTGTGTGACTGTTAGATAGAAAGCACACAGCAAAGTGTTTGTGTGAATTCGTGGACGAGGCAAGTCGTATAAAACGCTTTGAGTGCTCAGAGTAGAAAAGCGCTACATGAGAACCAGTCCACTTACATCGTCTTTCTACCGTCTCGCAATACATTTTACAATTTTTGATGGATGGTCATATTGTGAAACAGAAGATTGTGCCTGCAGTTTTTTGTGCTGTACAGTGAGGTATGTACGTAGTGTCAAAGTGTGTAGTGTAATAACTTTATCTATCCTGAATTGTGCCAAATGCAGGAAAATGGGGAAAGACCAGTAACTCCAATCACACTGGGATGCACCGTCAGCTAAATAGTTTTAAGTTTCTCATTGAACTTTTTTGTGCAACTATATCTTTTAACGCCATTATGGCACTTATAGAACGCATAAGATTATTATTACTACTACTATTATTATTATCATCATCATCCAACGGCTCCAGATTGTCTCAAGGCAAATATGAGGGATTTGAATTGTTTAACTGGCACTGAGTAGTTTGGCAAAGTCTCCACCTGACATACTGTTGTGATGCTGTATTGTGGACCAGTAATACCTGTAAATATAAAAGTAGAAATCTGTAACATAAACTAGACGGAGGCAAAGGAGAACCACTGAACTTTGTGGCATATGAGGTTGTTGGAGTGTGTGGAATTTCTTCATTTTAGCTTAATCTGTTCGGTTTAGTAGGTGAAGGTAGATGCGGTTTAAAGCGGATAAATCTCATTTCAGACTCTGAGGGGTCCTTTGACTTCAGCGGGTTTAACATCCTGTTAGCTTTGGTTACAACAGGATCATGCTGCCCCACTCACCCCCCACCCCATGTTCCTTCCTTCACTGGGGTCAGTCTGGTCCTGTTGTAGAAACAGAGGCTTGGGGACCCTCTCCATATTGCCCTCCAGCACTATTACCTCCTCCACCTTCAGATTCCTCCTGACTAGGGGAGGCCTCATCACTGGGACCACCCCTGGATGTAACTGAAGCGGTGGTAGTCTCAGGAGAGGCGCTGTGGGCTTCCTGGGGTGCGCAGCCTGGGTGGTTCTTGCGGAAATGCTGGTTGAGGATGGCCTGGAAGGGGAAGCTCTTCCCACAAACGTGGCAGTGGAAAGGTTTGTTGCCAGTGTGCTTGCGGATATGGTACTCCAGCTGGTCTTTACGGGTGTACTTCTTCCCACAGATGCGGCAGACAAATGGTGTTATACCCATATGTAGGCGCATGTGACGGTCTAGGCTCCCTTTCTGGTTGAAGGATTTGCAGCAGTAGATGCAGGTGAGGCGTGGATTGTAGCGGAACCAGCGATCTCCTACCTGCTCCCTCAAGTAGTCCTCATAACCGCCCATATCAAACGTTGTATGCTCCTCTCCCTGATGGGTAGAATGAAATGCAAAATTAAACGTTAACATAGTGGACACCATGACAGAATGAATCAAATAAGACTTTAGATCATTTTAGATAAACATGCCCTGAACAAAACTGTCCTCCTGCATCATGCTCTCTGTTGTCGGTCAAATTTGCGTTACCTGAGTATGTTAATGTCCGTAAGAAACTGCCAACAGATTTCTCTTTTAAAAAAAGTGAAAACTTATTATTGTAGTGTCTTTATGTTACAACATAAAGCACCTTGAAACAACTGTTGTTATGATTTGGTGCTATATAAATAAAACTGAATTCAAACTATAATAGATTCCTTGGGACATCAATCATCTCGTCAACGTAAAGACCAGATGTTGTTAGCAGTGCGTACGGGTACAATGAGGCCATACACACTACTAACCCACATTATGACGCAAGCCTGTGATGATATTTTTTTTCTTTCATTTTTAGTGAGTCGAGCCCTCAAAGGGTGGATCAGTTTTTCCATTTACACTGACAGTTGTATCGTTTATGATAACGTATATCAGTAAAGACTTTCAACTCAATTTAATTCAATATGTAATTTAAATGTACCCTGATTGTTTTGTATTACTGCACAATAAGGAGATTTTAAAAGTCCTTTAAAAGGTTAGATTCAGCAGGAAAGGTCCAATCAAAAGTTTAAGACCACTTGAAAAATGGCAAAAAAAAATAAATCATATTTTGCATGGTTAGATCTCAACAAGGTTCCAAGTAGAGCTTCAACATGCAACAAGAAGAAATGGGAGAGACAAAGTGTTTTTGATGGTTTCCAATGTTACTGGAATGGCAAGCAGATCCCACCTGAGATGTTTTCTACGCGCCACAGTGGCGGGGGCACCATAACTGTCTGGGGTGCTTTTTCCTTAAATGGAACAATGGAGCTTCAGGAGGTGTAGGGGCATCAAACGGCCGCTGGCTATGTCCAGATGTTGCAGAGAGCATCCGTCATGACTGAGGGCCCTCGTCTGTGTGGTAACGACTGAGTTTGTCAACAGGACAATGCTACAGTACACAATACCCACAATGCAAGGGATTTTTTCCAGGAGAATAACATCACTCTGTTGGACCATCCTGCGTGTTCCCCTGATCTGAATCCAACTGAGAACCTTTGGAGATGGATGGCAGGGGAAGTTTACAAAAATGGACAACAGTTCCAGACAGTAGATGCCCTTTGTGCAGCCGTCTTCACCACTTGGAGAAATCTTCTCACTCACCTCATGGAAAGGTTTGCATCAAGCATGCCGCAACAGATTTTTGAAGTGATCAACAATAACGGCGGAGCTACTCATTACTGAGTTCATGTTTGGAATGTTGATTTCTGTTTTAGGGGGTTTTCTGGTTTTTTGCCGTCTTAAACTTTTGATCAGCTGTAAAACAGCTTAGTAAAAACTACGCGTTTTCAATAAATTGTATGCTCAAAAAAATGTTTTGTCTCACTCCCATTTCTTCTAGTTGAATGTTTAAGCTCTACTTGGAACTTTGTTCAGATTTGACCAAAACTGACTTTTTGCCATTTTTCAATGATGTACAAAATGATCACACATTACTTTAATTTTTGTTGTTATGGGATTCAGAAAAAAAACAGTGCTTTTCTTTAGGTTGTTGCATATCTACAGGAAGAGTCTAGTGATCCTTTATCATGACTAGGCTGGTAATCACTAAATAGACTCTGTATCTATTTAAGAACCACTTTGTAAGCCAGTAACCACGAGCCACTGGGTTTCCAGTTTCTTTGTAAATCATTACATATTACTATATAAGCTTAGTGAAGTTGTATTTAATAATTAAATAACACATACCAACAGGACACATATAAATTTAAAAAAAGTATTTATTATTGACTTCATATATCTAAATTTCTTTACTGTGTTTCTCTGTGATTTATGTCCACCCTAGAAGAGTCCACAGTGCTCTCACTTTCAGTGTGAACACCGCACTTCCTCATTTGGCCTTGAGTGTAACAAAACATTCCCAATAAGGTGTCAAACGTAACATAAGAGAGCAAGAAAAGGTGAAAGAGAGTGACAGGGACAAATGTGACACATCTCCATATTGCTGACTCTTTCCTGGTAACTTCCTCCATGTTTCTTATCCACGGAAAAGAAACATGGTGTTTTAATAATTTCAGTTGTCTGTAAAAGAAAAAAGAAAAAAGAAAAAAAAAAAGGTTGGTCTCTACTGGCTTACTAACTATGACAGTTTGTGTTTGTACCTGTGAGTTTGGCTGTCGCAACTCATCTGCCCTGCTAGGAGACTCGCTCTTTGCTCTCTGACGTTCTGTGAGGACGACCACGCTGCCAGTGGGACTAAACCTGACATCAAAAATCAGTTAATTTAAAAGGAAAGGGGAACAAAACCCACACACAAATCATCATCATCAGGTGTCTGCAGACCAGTCAGTGAACCATGGAGGAATATCTTAGCTATGACTCACCTGTCTGTCTCGCTGAAGCTGGAGGATGGCTGGATACTACGGGCCCCCAGCGTTCCTACTGGTCCAGTCACCAGTGTACTGCGTCCTGATGTGTCAATCATCACCGTGGCCCCCTCTTCCACTGGCCCTCCCTCCTCCTGGTGCTCTTCTGTTCCAATCCATTCCTCCATCCTCTCTGTTTTTATCCTGATCCCATCCATGCTGCTCTCCTCAGCGCTGCCGGTCCGTTCTGGTTCACTGCTGGTCTCCACATACCACTGACCAGCTCGGTTGATGCGTAGTATCGGTTCTTTGCCTGCTCTTCCACTGGTGGTCCCTGGCCCTTCTAGCCCACTGTGCTCCACCGCTGGAACTGGGCTAAGTGGCTCTTCTGCTGGACTGACTGCTTCACATGGCTCTGCACCTCCCCGTGGGCCAAGCAGCCGCAGACCACTGTGACCCCCTCCTCGCACCACAGCCTCCAATGTCCTGCTATTCCTGGAGCCCCGTGCCCCCTCCTCATCCCTGGACTCTTCGTCCAGGTCAGCCAGACTGATCTTAAGGTGGATACCCTCAAGAATTTGGGTGCAGCGGTCAATAATGTGCTGCATCTGCAGGAAGCTGGCAGCTGTCAGGTAGCTGATGATGTCTGCAAGCTGCAAGCAGAGACGGCCCGTGTAGCAAAAAGACAGCAGTTGCTCGAACACTGATGGATTACGGATCACTGTCAGTGACACAGTGCTCATCTGACTCAAAGACATGTGGTCCCGAAAGTATGGCGAGCTGGCTGCTAGTACGACCTTGTGTGCACGAAAGCTTTGGCCCTGAACATTGACCACAATGTCACAGAGACGGCCTTGAACACGCAGCTGGTTCAGGTGAGAAAGAACAGAGTTACTGAAGTCTGGGATGTCCAGCTGTATGCTGCCGGTACGCTCCATGCTGCAGCCTGCAGGGACACTGAAAACACAGCAACACATCAGTGCTGACCCACACCAGGACCTTTTTGCTTAAAACTGGCAAATGATTCCAGATTAATAATATGGGAGCTCCCTGTCATGCCAGTAACGTGGAAACCATCAAGGATACCCTGTTTTATTAATCTGATTCCAGATTAATAAAACAGGATGGGTTTTTTTCATCAATCTTCAATGACACAGCGACATTACTGATTGGGGGTGTTGTGACTAATGCTACCTTATCATGGAAAGCAAATCCGCAAAAAGCAAATACAAGTTACAGCCATATGGAATTTGCAGTGCATAATTCAGTTCAAGTTCTTCCACTGTTATCTTTTTCAATGTCATGTGCCAAAGTAGTGCAAAGAAAGCAAGTAAACTCTGCCCCTACAGAGTCGATTATCTTGTTAATAGTGTTACACCCTTGTCTGCGTATAACTCAACATACTGTAGGTCCTCTGAAAAGAAAGCCTCAAATCAGAAGTACTAAACTCCCTGGTGGAACTCTCAAAGGCACACCTCAAAGTAAATAAGGTGTAAATAAGTTGGAGAGGAAATGGCAGAAATTTAGAAGATCAATGATTAGCCTGGAAAAAAAGTTTGCAGTTCTATAAAAAAAAGCCCCCATGTAAAGCTAGAACATCGGACTATTCATCACTGACTGACGAAAAGACGAACAGCCCAAGATTTCTCTTCAGCACTGTAGCCAGGCTGACAAAGGGCCAGAGCTCTGCTGAGCCAAGAATCGCTTTAACCTTAACTTGTAATGACTTTGTGAATTTCTTGACAAATAAAATTTTTTCCATTATAAATCAATAATAACCATGTCATAGATGTATTACTATTTACAGCTACTTTCACTGATATTCAATTAGACTTTTTTCCTCTCCAATTAATTTTTCTGAGTTAACTTCAACAATCACTTCCTCCAAAGTGTCGATTACGCCCCATTCTAACAAGACTGCTCAAAGAAGTTCTTCCATTAATGCTTTGGCAATGTCTCTGTGGAAACTCTGGGTTAACTTATCGAATTGATAACCAGCTTTGTGTAACCTGTTCACCAACCGATGTTAGGATAAGTGAATCAAGAAAATGGAAAAAAAACCTTAAAAATGTTACACTCACTTTGTAGTAGAGCGCACAGACCCCATCATGCTGCATAACTGCCCAGTGAATACTTCAAAGTCGACTTAGCCGACTAATTGCTGATGTCTTCTCACTGGTCGATACAGATTAGTCATTTAATCCAATTGTTAAAATGTTAATTACCCAATGAAGGTAAATTATTGTGTCCTAAATGTTTGCACCCATCTGTCACCAGTTGGCGCATTGTTGTGGAGAAATGCCATAAATCTGTTAATCTTGGTCTCATCTTTTGTGAATGATAGTAGATACAAGTGGCGGACAAGGGCTTTCTCCAAAAGGTAGATGGGCTTTCCCTTAGCGATAGAGTGAGGAGTTCAGTCAATCAGGAGAGGTTCATAGTGTCAAGGTGCTGCACGTTTAAGGCATGATTCATTATTGAAGAATATAAATGTTATAAGAGTTTGACATTTTCAATTAAACGGTTCTCAAATCTACCTTAATACGCGAGTATTTCTTAGTTTTAGGCTAATGGGTTAGTTTAATTTTCTTCCACCATTAGTGGACTATTAAATCAGTCACCAGGAACATCCCTACTTGAAATCCTTCTACTTGCCGAGAACCATCATCTCTCAGAACCTAAACCTCAGCTCCTCCTCCCTCTACCCATCCCTTGTGTTGTTCTTCTTGAATTTGGTCTCCAGCTTCCTCCTGGTACGAGCTCTTGCATATCCTTAGCTTCGCCCTTAGATCGTGCGGCACTCTCCTCAGCTCTTTTGTTCCTGGACCTTTTCGTCTCTTTGTTCTTTCAGGTTACTACTGATCAAAGGCTTACTGTTCACAAAGCATACAGTGCTGGCTGGTCTGATGGTGTGTTCACAAAATTTGACATATTCTATTCTTTAGCCAGCCAAACTTTTAAAACCCATCTTCCTATGCCTCCACAGCCTCATCCATCCACCTTCTGACAAGTCCCATAGACACAGGTTTAATTTACAGTGGGGCAAAAAAGTATTTAGTCAGCCACCGATTGTGCAAGTTCCCCCACCTAAAATGATGACAGAGGTCAGTAATTTGCACCAGAGGTACACTTCAACTGTGAGAGACAGAATGTGAAAAAAAAATCCATGAATCCACATGGTAGGATTTGTAAAGAATTTATTCGTAAATTAGGGTGGAAAATAAGTATTTGGTCACCTCAAACAAGGAAAATCTCTGGCTCTCACAGACCTGTAACGTCTTCTGTAAGAAGCTTTTCTGTCCCCCACTCGTTACCTGTATGAATGGCACCTGTTTGAACTCATCATCTGTATAAAAGACACTTGTTCACAGCCTCAAACAGTCAGACTCCAAACTCCGCCATGGCCAAGACCAAAGAGCTTTCGAAGGACACCAGGAAAAGTATCGTAGACCTGCACCAGACTGGGAAGAGTGAATCTACAATAGGCAAGCAGCTTGGTGTGAAAAAATCAACTGTGGGAGCAATCATCAGAAAATGGAAGACATACAAGACCACTGATAATCTCCCTCGATCTGGGGCTCCACGCAAGATCTCATCCCGTGGGGTCAAAATGATCATGAGAACGGTGAGCAAAGATCCCAGAACCACACGGGGGGACCTGGTGAATGACCTGCAGAGAGCTGGGACCAAAGTAACAAAGGTCACCATCAGTAACCCACTACAACGGCAGGGAATCAAATCCCGCAGTGCCAGACGTGTTCCGCTGCTGAAGCCAGTGCATGTCCAGGCCCGTCTGAAGTTTGCCAGAGAGCACATGGATGATACAGCAGAGGATTGGGAGAATGTCATGTGGTCAGATGAAACCAAAGTAGAACTTTTTGGTATAAACTCAACTCGTCGTGTTTGGAGGAAAAAGAATACTGAGTTGCATCCCAAGAACACCATACCTACTGTGAAGCATGGGGGTGGAAACATCATGCTATGGGGCTGTTTTTCTGCCAAGGGGACAGGACGACTGATCCGTGTTAAGGACAGAATGAATGGGGCCATGTATCGTGAGATTTTGAGCCAAAACCTCCTTCCATCAGTGAGAACTTTGAAGATGAAACGAGGCTGGGTCTTCCAACATGACAATGATCCAAAACACACCGCCCGGGCAACAAAGGAGTGGCTCCGTAAGAAGCATTTGAAAGTCCTGGAGTGGCCTAGCCAGGCTCCAGACCTCAACCCCATAGAAAATCTGTGGCGGGAGTTGAAAGTCCGTGTTGCTCGGCGACAGCCCCAAAACATCACTGCTCTCGAGAAGATCTGCATGGAGGAATGGGCCAAAATACCAGCTACTGTGTGTGCAAACCTGGTAAAGACCTATAGTAAACGTTTGACCTCTGTTATTGCCAACAAAGGTTATGTTACAAAGTATTGAGTTGTATTTTTGTTATTGACCAAATACTTATTTTCCACCCTGATTTACGAATAAATTCTTTACAAATCCTACCATGTGGATTCATGGATTTTTTTTTCACATTCTGTCTCTCACAGTTGAAGTGTACCTCTGGTGCAAATTACTGACCTCTGTCATCATTTTAGGTGGGGGAACTTGCACAATCGGTGGCTGACTAAATACTTTTTTGCCCCACTGTAAAAACAGGAACATACTATGGTGTCAGTAGGACTAGATTATAGTCACCAGGCACTGCATCTATTAACAGCATTCTGCTTCGTATTTGCTATTCCCAAAGATTTCTATTTCACGATTCTCTGAGTGCTAAGTCTTTCACTTTTGTCTCTGAGCAGTCTTGTGTTTGTCTTTGCCTAGTATGCCTGTGGCTACCTAATGGTCAGGGAAGGGTTTAATCAGATACAGCCAGAAGTAATGGAAACAGCAGAGTTCCTCCAGCAAGTCTAATCTATGACGATTCCAATTCATCAGATGATTTTCAATCTTCATGAGGATAATGACATGCTGATTGGACAAAACTGATTTTATTCATGAGCAGCAGAATAAGAACCCTCTGGTTTATTTTATGGTGCACTGGAGTGTTGTCTGCTGAATCAGGTCCGGAGTTTAAAGTCAGAGTTCTTAGTGTCATCAAGAGGTCTCTTTTTACCATGGCAACTTCTGCTGAACACAAAACCTGGTTATGAGCAGGTTATGTTCCAACTTTCGATTTAAAATCAGCCGGGCCCTCCACAGTTTTATTCTTTTACTTACAGCATCTTTTCAGCAATTCTCTGTTGGAGAGTAGGGAATAGCCATGCCTTACTAACATCATCAAATGAAGCCCAACTGTGAAGTTACAGCAGCACAAACGGTCACTGGAATCTGAATGCATTCAGTTAGTGATGTGCAAACGTATACATGTTTAGTGGTTTTTACGCTGCTGGAATTACAGCCCACAGGTTAAAAAAGGCTAAAAAAGTCATCATCTACATTTGTAGGCCAATACTTTCCAATTAGTAAGATTAATTTTGCTCTGATCTGGTGATAAACTAAAGTGATTTCCATGTCTCCTGTACAATAGGCGATGGAGGAGCGTCAGACGTGAACACACTAACATTCAATGTTTCAGAGCTCTAATGTGCAGCTGTCAACAAAAACACATGGCAAGTTTTAGTTCACAAAATTAACAGTCCTCCTAAACATTTCTCTCTTATTTGCAGCACCAGTGTTGCAGCTCATTGTTATATATTTTAATATATTTCTTGTAACCTTTATTACCTGTTTGTCTGCTGATGAAACTTATTGGAATAAGCAATGCTCAGCTGCTGAGGAAGAAGAGTCAAAAGATACATTTTCTTTTCCCTGTTTTCTGTGAGCATGCACAGAGCCTGGACCTGAAAGCCCTGGATAACAAAGGATGCTGATAACCATTATCGCTGGCTGGGCTTTTAGGTTTTGTTAGTCGAGCTAATGCAGAGAAAGAAAGAAGGCTTGGCTGTGTTAAACTGCCCCGTAGCACTCAGTTAACTATCGAGTTATCCCATCAAAGTTTCCTCATGTTAGTTATACTTTACACATATTACACTAATCAACAATTACTATTCACTAAATAACTGCAGTTTTTCTCGGTTTCCTGTCACATTCAGTGATGCTGTGTTTTGTAGGTATGAAGGGCCATAGACAAACATGCTCGTAGGTACAGACACGTGAAAGGCCTACCTCTACCACACAGGGGACCCAGATCTTTGGTGGCTGCTTTGCGTTTTTGTGTAGTGTTGTGTCTGCATGGTTGTTATTGCATGTCTGTGTGGTTTTAAGTTTGGGTTTGAGGTTCATCCTCCGTCTGTAGTTTTGCCCCTCTGGAGTTGTTTTGCAGTCATTCTTCATATTTCTTTTTTTT